AAGAGAAATTAGAAAATATTTTCAACTGAGTGAAAACAAAAATACAAGATGTGTATATTTGTTAGAAGGAAATTTTTTAATTTACAGCATTAAATGTTCTATTGGAAAAAAAAAAGAAAGGTCTCAAATCAATGATGTAAGTTTCCATGTACAAAATAGGAAAAAGTGTTAATTAAAGTAATGAAAAGTATAAAGTGTAAGAGCAGAAATGAAGAAATGGGAAACAGAAAAACAATGGAGGAAACCAATGAAACCAAAAGTTGATACTTTGAAAAATCAGTGAAATTGATAAACATCTAGGCAACTGACAAAGGGGAAAAATAAGAGTCACAAATTACCAGTAACAGGAATGAAAGAGGCACACTGCTACAACTGGACAAACATCAAATGGATAAAAAGAGTAGATTTTGAGCAACTTTATGCCAATAAATTTAATAACTTGGATGAAATGGACAAATTCCTTGAATGACATAAATTATAAAAGCTCACTGAAGGAAAAAAAATTGATAGCCTGAATAGCCATAATTCTATTAAGGAAACTGAGTTGCTAGTTAAATACTTCCTGACAAAGAAATCTCCAGGATCAAATGCCTTCACTGGTGAATTCTAACAAACACTTAAGGAAAAAATAGTATCAATTCTGTAAATATTCTTTCAGAAAATAAGAGGAGAGAATACTTCTGAGCTCAATTCTATAAGGCAGCATTACCTTGATACCAAAACCAGACAAAGATATTTACAAGGAAAACTATGGACCAAATTCTTTATGAACCACAGACAAAACAATTCTTAACAATTTATTAGTAAACTCTTCAAGCACTATATGAAAAAATGATATATCATGACCAAGTGGGGTTTATCCTAGGGCTAACCTGATTTAACACTTTAAAATCAATCAATATAATTCCCCATGTTAATAAGAAAAAGAGAAAAGTCATATAATGCAGAAAAACTAACAGATGCAGAAAATCTTTTGAAAAAAGTCAACATCCATCTGTGATAAAAACTATCAGCCAACTAGAACTTCTTTAATCTGATAAATTTGATAAAGAGCATCTATGTAAAACTTATCACTAATGTTACTCTTAGTCAAAGACTAAATGCTTTTCCCTTCAGTCAGGAATAAGGCAAAAATATCTGTTCTCACCACTTCTATTCAACACTGTACTAACAGTTCTAGACAATGTAGTACAGCAAGACAGAAATAAAAGGAATACAGACTGGAAAGCAAAAAGGGCAACAGTTATTATTCATGTATGACATGACTGTTTATGTAGAAAATCATAAAGAATCTACCAAAAATTACTAGAATAAGTAAGTTTAGAAAAAATGCAGTTAATATACAAAAATCAATTGCATTTTCACATACTAGCAATAAACAATGGGAATTTGAAATAAAAATGTACGGCATTTACAGTAACATAAAAAAATACCTAGGGGATTAATATAACAGAACATTTGCAAGATTAATACACTGGAAATAAAACATTACTGAGAGAATTTAAAGAGCTAAATAAAAGGAGATGTGCATCATATTCATGAATTGGAAAACTATATTATTATTATTATTATTAGTGATTACTATTCTTGAATTTAAACTGTTAATGAGTATTTTAATATTTTCCTCTCCCCTAATGGACTGTCTTAAACATTCTTAGAAGCTTCAGGTCTGATGCTATGAAAACTCTAAGAGTTACTGTTTAATGTTACTACAGAGTTGCTGTTTGGGATGTGAAAATGTTCTGGAAATAGATACTAGTGATGGTTATACAGCATTATGAATGTACTTAATGGTACTGAATTACACACTTAAAAATGGTTAAAATGATAAAATTTTATGTTATGTATGTTTTATCACCCTCCCCCCACACACACAGTTAAACAGAAAAGTGTACAAAACACAAACATCTGTAAGTGAGCACTGGGGTGAATACTTGGAGGACTGGAAAAGGAGCAAAGATGTTAATTGTGAAGACAAGTTACCACAATGAGAGACACCCATGATGATATCAGTGGGAATGAAGGGAACTGAAATATAAGGAATAAGGTTCACCACTAAATGGTCGTGCAGGTGAAGAAGAGACATTTAACTCAAGTTAGCTGTGTTTGCAGGTGGGTAGGGGCTGGGGCTATAAGTAGACTGGGGTGGGGGGAGAATAGAATGGGCAGGAGATAATGAAGTAAATCGTGGGCATGTGCTGAAGTTATCTGTGGAAGACACACTTGGTGATATCTAGCTAGAGGCTAGATACAGTTTTGACACTCAGGGAAGAGTTTTAGGATTAAAATTATTTGAGCAGACTGAATAAGAACAGGGGACTATAAAGTGAAGAGAACCAATTCTGGAGAACACCAGTATTTAAGAGGTCCAAATATAAAGATGAATTTTCTTAAAGAAAGAATCAGAAGAATAATATCTTTGAAACCAAGAGCAGAATATTTGAAGAGTTACACTACTAGTTTAGTATGGTGATCTGAGTATAGACAGTTACTTCTCCTGTATCTGAACATAAAATTAGAAGAAATGTAAAAATAGGAATAAATCTATAACACCATTTGTATTTGTATAGCATACTGTGGGAGTGTTATAGGCAGGTCACAGATTTTTAGGAGTTGTTAGCAGCTATGAACAGAACTGAAGGATCAGAGAGGAGAAATACAGTATTCTCAGTTTTTGTTCAATCTGCCAAGCATAGCTCTATTCTCAAAGCCTCAAGACAGGACTTCTTGCCCCTAACTAGTAGCAATCTGTCAATTCCATCTCCATCTTGACTGTTTTTATCTTTGCAAAGGCAAGTTCATGCAGTAATATATTCTCATTTAATATGAGGAAATGCATTTTTTTTGCACTTTTTAGCATTGCTTCTGGGAGAAGACTGAGAAAGATTTTGAATGATTATAGTCACTTGATGTGTGAACCCTGGTTAAAATAAGAAGGAGCACTTAAGGAAGGTAAAAGCTGATCTGACCAACCTAAGAACTGCTTCCCTGAAGGGGAAGATAAGCAGGAGGATTTTAGTATAAGAAAGGCAAATACTCAAATATCCTTAAAAAAAAAAAACAAACTATTTCAGAAAGGAGAGAGGAACCATCACCTCACCTGAGCCATGGTTTTGAGATCTGCAAGAGATGACCAGCCTTCCTCTGGGCTCCTCTTTAGAAAAGGGACGGTTCCTAAGAAGGCAAAGCCAAGATGAAAAGAAGCCACATGACACCACATAAGCCTTACAGCTCTCTTAGGACTTAAAACTCAATTAAAACTGACTCCATTTCCCTTGCTTTGGCCCTGGTCCACCCTGCACATCCCACATAAATACAGGGAGAGAATGAACTAGACAAATCTTATTTTATCCCCAAAACTAGAGATACAGGCTCCTGGTGGCAAGAGGTTAGATTTTGGGCAAACTCCCTTCCTCTCTAGTGCCATCTTTTCTCTCCTAAGCTGCCTACTGTTATTAACTATTCCCAAGCTGTTCTCTATTAAGGCTCTACCACTTACACCGTGACCACAATACATGCAAACACCCATCACCCCATATTCTGATGAGTACCACTGATACAAACTTCTTGATGCTTGCCTATCTAACAGGTATATATTGTGATTCTAGTTTTAATTTTTCTTCCTTTGGGAGCAGATAAGCTTCTATTCATAAGCTTAAAAAAACTTTAGTTTCTTAATCTGTGAAAGGGCTCTTATAATTCTTTCACTTTTCTATTAACTTATTTTTTTCTCGATTGAAATTAGATCTTGTTTAAAGGAAGGAAATTAATCCTATAATTACTTAAAATAATTTCTTTATAGTTTTCCATTTGATTTTGTGTTTTTCCCATGCAAAAAATAATTTAAAAAAAAGATTATTGGTGGGGGAGGGTGTAGCTCAAGTGGTAGAGTGCATGCTTAGCATGCAGGAGGTCCTGGGTTCAGTCCCCAGAACCTCCTCCAAAAATAAAAAAAATAAATAAACCTAATTACCTCCCCTGCCCCCCCTCTCAAAAAGATTATTAGGCCATTTGGTTTAGTACCATAAGGGATTCAATAATCTGTATCAAATCACTCATCAAAACTGCCATCTTTATTATATACTTTATTTCCTTTACATACTTGAGTAAATCTGGACTTTAGTTCCACTGATCTGTTCATTTAACTGCCAGGATTACTCTGTAGTTATTACAGTTTTAAAACATACTTTAGTATCAGTAGGCCTACCTCCTCCTTTATTACTTTTCTTCCAAAATGTCTGGCTTGTTCATTTTCTCCTAAGAAAATTAGAAAGTAAAAAAATCTGTTGAAATTTTAATGGAACTCCACAAATTGTTAGGGAGTCTTAACACTATCATGTGTCTTCTGGTCCTTTTATTCGAGTCTTTAATTTTTGAGTCCCGTAGAAACATCAAAAATTTTTTTACATATCATGCAATCTTTTGTAGCTTATATTTTTGATGGCCACTGGCCACTTTCCATAGGTTCCTGATACATATATACACATATGCATGGACACATGTATGTGAAGCCTGTTGATTTGTTAATGTCTTTTCTAGCAAATCTCTGAGTTTTCTAATTGTTGTCATTGTTTTTTAGCAGGATGGTAACTTAGAAATTTTTCTGCCTCAGTCTCAGCAGATGTCCCAAAGATGGTGAGCAAAACAAGCTTCTAATTGTCTCTCATTTTAAAATAAAGTCTTGTGAAGCAGCTGACTATAAAGTTTTGCTACCATTAATTTAACTTCTAATTCAAAAGGCTGGAGAAGCTAAGAAAGGGAATGTCTTTTTAAGAGAGCAAATTATTTTTAGAACATAATTTTATAGAGGGTAGAAAAGTAGGTGCTTCTGCCTTCCTTATATCAAACAAGGGGCCCCTTGGACACTGATGCCACTATAAATCAAAGTGTTGAGAGAATTTGGGGGGAAAATGTACATGTTTCCAAGATTTGGGTGGGAGCAGGGGTGGTAGTGGTGACTGAGGTGGCTAATTCTCACCTGAGCTCCAGATGGGGAACCCATGGATGGAGCCTGGCTAGGTTGGCTTGGATCCTGTCCAAGAGAACTGATGCGAGACACAAGACCAGCCAGAGCAGGTGGGCCACTGCATGCCAATAGGAGGCAGCTGACGAAGTGGCTGTGCCCAGGAAAAAGGGAAGTGTATCAGGAAGTTCCCAGCAGTTGGTTCTCTCAGAAGGTAAGATATGACTTACACTAAATTATAATGGTATCAGTCATGTTAGCCTCTTCTTGTCCCTGCCTTCTGACTTCTCTTCCTTTTTCCAGCTCCCAATCCATTCCAGCTGTAGACTATCCACCTAGAGGGAGTAAAGATGGGACAAAATACAGGTTGAGGAATTAGAGAAGAAACTGATCATATATTCTTTCACACAGCAGACTTCTAGTAGGAGGGAGAGTTTCTGCTTTAAGATAAGTTTGAAGTATTGATTACTACAGTGAACATTTTATTTAGCTAAATAAGACTGATCTTGTGTTTAAATGTTCAACAGATAATTTAAAATTATCTTCACAGTAACTGAAGAAATTATTGAAACTTTATCGTCCAGGAATCCATCCAGCAGAAGAAAAAAATTCACCCAAACAGACATTTTTAGAGTGGCAGCTATGGGAGAAAGTTTTTTGTGTGTGCGCCCAATGGTGTTCTACTTATGTCAACATACTGCTCATTAGTCAATATAGGGTTTCCCAATACACAGTTGTATTATCTGGAAATTATTTTAACTTTACCTCTTCCTCTGTTTTAAAAATCTATTTTTTTCACTTGTCTAACTGCCACAGAGTCAGATTTTACAGGCAAATACATAATATTCAGATAATCCAAACAATACATAGTACTTAACTGGTCTTGCATCCACTCTCTTTTAAGTGTTTACTCTCAGTCACACAATGAGCCAGCCACATTCAAAGTCACCGTGAATTGTGCACACAAAATACTTCAAAAATTGGACACATTCACTGTATATCACCCACTACATAATCACAATCCCACAGACACAAGTAATACATCATCTCAGAGTCCATAACATACTTCCACACAACGCAGCAAAATTTTACTCACAAACCCCTTACTGTCGCCTCTCCAAAGTCGCAGTCTCAGACTTCGCATCTAACCTAAAATCAGACGCACGCAGAGACTCTTACTGTCATAAACAATCGAATCCATAACGTCACAGAGTAACACACGTCAAAAAACAAACGAAAGGCGCAAAAAGCTACGCAAACGGAATGCCTGTGTGTGCGAGGCCGAGCTCACACCGCCTGGCGCTCCCGGTTCCCTCCTCGGCGTTCCCAGCCCTTGGGTCCCGGTTCCTTCCTCTGCCTAGGATCTCGCTTCCCTGCTCGCTTTCTCTAGGGCCCGGACGCTCGCTTTCCTCCCCTCCTCGGTCCAGGCTCCCTCTTCCTTCCTCGCTTTTCCCAGCGCAGGTTCCCGCCTCGGTCCTCGGCAATGCCCCCGGCTCCCACCATCACCAGCCCGCCCAGCGCCCGCAGAACCCACCAGCCTCACTAACCTCCGACTACCGGCCGGCCGGCCGCGCCTGCGTACTCCCGCGCGGGCCGCGCCTCCCAAGCGTCTCCGCGGCTCCTTCTTCGCCGCCGCCGCGCGCCTTCTCGACATCCGGGCTTTTGCGGCCTTGAACTACATTTCCCACAGCCCCTGGGCCGCTTCGGGAAAGAACTTTGGTCCCCGGTTCGTCTCTAGTTTCCCTCCCAAGTCCTCAGAGTCGGGTGCGGCGGGCACTCACGGCGAGGAAGCCCCGGCCCTCTGGCGCACGCAGGGTGTGGGGAGCCGGGCGCTCAGGCCTGTGCCGGCGCGCTTGTGTGTGTGCTTCGGTGGCCACAACGAGGTGGGGTGTACGCGCGGTCCTGAGGCCGCGACAGGTGCAGGATGCGGGACCCTTCGGGTGACCGTGGTCGGCGGTGGTGTGAGGTATGAGGTATGAGGGGTTGGGATTTGAGACCGCCCTTCAGAAGACAGTGCTGTTGTGGTGGACGAGGCTTTTAATTCTGTGACCAGGCAGGAGTTTGGGTCACAGGGTAGAGCTTCATTTCTGCTGTTCTGGGCTTAACGTCGGGACTGAGGGGGTCTGTTGAAGATCTCACTTGAGAGGGTATCTGTGCCTGTGAAGACAGCGATGCCTGTGTTAAGCAGAGTCGCAAACTAAGCATGGCCTGAGTTGCCTTTGTCGGGGCACCCCCACCTCTAGTGCCCAGACTCCAGTGCTTAACACAAAGTGGGTATAGCAAGGTAGTGAGGGTTGCCCGCCTAGGGGCCAGTTTTAGGTTCTGTCCTTTCTTGGGATCTTTATTCCTGTATCTCTGCTTCCTCTTTTTTTCCCACTTTATAGCCGGGACCCCAGCTACAGAGAAATAGTCACCAAAATGGGAGTCAGATATTTGAGTGGTAGGATTAAGGTTACATACAAGCAAAAAGCACAAAGCTGTTTTTGGAATGAGTTTTAGGTTGGGAGTCCTAGAAAGACATGGGGAGAGCCCAGGAGTAGGATTCCTTCCTCAGAGGATCTCCCTTGGGAGCTGAGGTCAAGTTCCATGTTTCAGAACCACGAGATTCCCAAAGCTGTATCCCAAGGGAACTTGCTGTGAAAGTTTCAGCTCTGGATACAGTGACCCTGGCCTTTCTCTTTGATACTGAGAAGGGTTAGCAGTACTCCCATCTCCCCTTTATTTCCATGTAAGTATGTACGTGGTGGATGATGTGAGCTTGTGTAGTATTGAAGAATTTCTTCCAGTTTAGCCAGTCTGTACTCTAAGAAAGGTCTGGTGTTCATGAGTCCTTACTCCTCTCCTTCTCACTCTTCTCCTGCAGTGCATTTCTTGGAGAGAAGAGCCCTGAAGAAAGGAAAACATTACAGAACATATCTAAAAACCAAGCTCAGGTCAGGGATTTTGTTGTTGTTGTTATTCTCTTTGTTTTTGTTTTTCAGAAAAGGGAAATATTAGCTCTCCCGAAATGCTTGGGTTATTATTAGGCAGGGCCTAATATCTTGAAAATATTCCATAACCATAATTCTTTCTACAACTTTGCATTTGTCTATGTATGTGTTCTTTTACATGGTTATTTTATAATTTATCTAACCAATAACTTTCCCAAGCAACTCCTTTTTGCTGTCCAGCTCCTCTGTCTTCACTTTCTATTCCCTTTCAGGACCTTAAGGGGAACATGGGTTCCTGTTATTTCAGGGATATGCAGACATAGAAATGTGGCATTAACTTCTGCTGAGTGCAGTATAGATGACTCACCCTACTCAGGAATCTGTTAAGGGTGTGATATAGTACCAATATACATTTAATTAGCTAATCAACTGGTTCTCCCTGATTATAATATCTCTTCTATTTTCCAATTCAAAATCTGCATTCTGGGGCCATCTTAACTCTCATCACTGTGACTCACTGGCGAATGTGACTCTTTAGGGTGCTTAGCTGTCTGAAATATTCATTTAACATTCTTGGAGGTGGAAATGGGCATCCCTGCTGTGTTATTTCAAAAGGGTCATCCTAATGCTTGATGTTACTTTTTCTACTTCCTTTCTGCCTGATGACCAAGGAAATGGTCTGAATTAGCGACATCAGGCCTAAGTCCCATTTCTTCTCCTATAAGCAGGTTTTATTATTAATTAATTAATTCCCAAGGAAAGTGTGATTTCCTTGTTGAAGCAATGGCTAGTGGAGAGGTTGGCTAACAAGAGATCCAAGCCTAGGTAAGTGAGGGGCAGCCAGTAAGAAGAATACACTGTGTATAAAATCTTCAGACTTAAGATTTAGGACTTTTAAGGTAGTATTTGAGTCACACATTTGAAAGGCTTCATGTCTATGAAGAAAGTTCTGGCCTCTTAAGCCAGAATTCAAACCACTACAACACTACATTCTGTATATTCATATCTGCTATTATTTCTTTTGCTCTCAAATAGGAGGGATAGCTCTTATTATTTTTTTCTGATAATAAAATTAGTAGATTCTTAATAAAGAAGTTTAGAGAATACAGAAAAGCTTAAAGTAAAGCTCACCTAGAAACAGCTTCTTTGAACATTTTATTCCAAATCATTTTACCTATTGCTCTGTGAATTAACACATGGATATAGGCATATAGGATTTTTCTTGATTTATTTTTCCTTATTTTTTAATTTTATTTTTAATTTTGTTGGGGGTGTGTGGCATTTGGTTTATTTATTTATTTTTTAGTGGAGGTACTAGGGATTGAACCCAGGTCCTCTTGCATGCTAACCACCACTGAGCTATACCCTCCCACAGGCATATAGGATTTTAAAATTCAGAACAAGTATACTGCAGTACTGTTTTATAATCCTTCTTCATCTAGCAAAATATAGTGAACAATTTTTCACGTCAACAAATTACAAACTTTCATAATTTTTTTTACTACTTTGTTTTTCTGGATATACTATAATTTTTTAACTGTTTCCGTATTATTGTAGGATATTTTAGTTCTTTCCAGTGTTTTACCGCACACTTTTTTTTTGTGCACTTGTGTAATTATATCTTTTGGACAGAGTCTCAGAAATACTGTTGACAATGAAGCTTTCATAGTTAAAACCAGATTTTCAGCAATATACAACATACTGTGAGACTATATAGGGATATCATCAGTCTTTTAAATCTACCGATCTAGTGGAAGTTGTGTTTATTTGATTAAATGAATTATGCATGCTCAGGTTTCACTCGGTGTAATAAAATCTGGGCTTCTGAGGCAAAAACCAGAACTGAAAGAGAACTGCTTTTGTAGTTAGAGAACTATGGATTCAAAACGTAGATCTGCCATTTATTGAACATGAATTATTTCTTTTCCTTCATTTTTAATAGGATTTTTGTACAACATAGAGTGCAGATCTTAAAATCATAGCTTGGCGATTTGTTTTTAAACCCACACAACCATTTGATAAAGATGAAACTTTTCAACATCCTAGAAGGCTCCCTTCATGTCTCTTCCCAATCAGCATGCCTCAAAATTAACATTGTTCTGACCTCTAGCACTATAGATTTGTTTTGTCTGATTTTGAGCTTTATATAAATGGAATCATACAGTATATACTTTTGTACTCAACAGTATGTACTCTCTTACTCAACATTTTATCTCGAAGAGTTATTCATGTTATTTTATATAGTTTAACATTGTATAGTTTTATATTGTCTAAATGTACCATAATCTATTTATCCATTCTCCTGTTGTTAGGATATTTGGGTTGTTTCCAGTTTTTGGCTATTACGAGTAAAGCTGCCTTCATGAATGTTCTTGTGCTATCTTCTGGTGTACATATTAATTCAGTTCTGTTTGCATTATATACTCAAAAATAGAATTGCTGGGTTAGAAAGTATATATAAATTTAGCTTTAATAGATATTGCAAAATAGTGTCTGAAAGTGGTTGTTTCATTTTATATTCCCACCTGCAATGTTTTTAGGATTCCAATTGATCCACATCATCGGCAGTATCTTATCTTAGTATTCTAGTGGGTGTGTAGTGGTACATTTGGATTTAATTTGCATTCTCGTTGTGACTAATGATGCTACAAACATCAGTTCCTATGGACAATGGGATAATTTGATTATCCATAGAGCTGGGAATGAACAAAATTGAAATAAGTGAAGTTTCACAATAAAAATTAAGTACAGAGCTAACCATACAACCCAGAAACTCCACTCTGGACCATTTATCCCAGACAAGTGAAAACCTAGGTTTACACAAATACCTGTACGTGAATGTTCACAGCAGCTTTATTTGTAATAACCCAAAACTGAATATAACCTAAATGTCCTTCAATGATAAATGGTTAAACAAACCGTTGGTTAAAATAAATGGTTAAACTATACAATGGGAAAACACTCAGCAGTAAAAAGGAATGAACCATTGAAACACACAACTTGGATCTCAAGGGAATTTTGCTGAGTGGAAAAGAGCCACTGTTTGTAAAATTACAAACAGTATGATTCCCTTTATAAAACATTCTTTAAAACGGCAAAACTATAGGGATGGAGAACAGATTAGAGGCTGCCAGGGGTTGGAGGGTAGAGAGGAGGTAGCTGTGACTACAGAAGGGTAGCACAAGGGATCCCTGGGATAGAACTGTTTTAAATCACGATGGTAGTCAGGGTAGTCACATGACTCTGCACATGTGATAAAATTGCATAGAATGAAATATACACAGAAATATACACACAAATGGGTGCATATAAAACTGGCAAAATGTAAATAAGTACTGTGTATGATATGAATATCAAAGTCCTGGTCATGATTTTTTTTTTTACAGGAAATTACCATTGAAGGAAATTGAGTGAAGTTATGTGGCTTATCTGTATATTATTTCTTAAACTGCATATAAATCTACAATGATCTCAAAATAAAAAGTTAAACTATAAGCATATAGCTGGGACAAGCAGTTTGCCATCTGGAAAAAAATAAAGTTATATCTGTACTTCGTATCATACCACAAGAATAAACTCTAAATAGATCAGGGATGTAAACATTATAAATGAAACCATATAAGTCCTAGAAGAAAGCATGGATGAATTCCTCTTTAACCTCAAGGTAGGAAGAAACTTTCTCATTATGACTCAGAAAACAGACACAATAAAAGAAAATATTGAAAATTTTGAAATATTCAAGATTTGACTACATTAAAAAAACATAATCAAAAGACAATTTATAAATTGGAAGAAAATATTTGTAAGATTTATCACAGATAAAGGCTAATATTCGTATATTAGTGTGCTAGGGCTGCCATAACAAAATACCACAGACTGGATGGCTTAAACAACAGAAATTAATTTTCTCACAGTTCTAGAGGCTGGACGTCCAAGATCAACATGTTGGCAGGTTTGGTTTTTCCTGAGGTCTCTCCTTGACTCCTCACTGTGTCCTCATAGGGTCTTTTCTCCTATGCTGGCATCCCTGGGGTGTCTCTCTCTCTGTATGTCCTAATCTTCTCTTCTTCTAAGGACACTAGTTAGATTGGATTAAGGCCTACCCTATCAGCCTCATTTTAAGTAAATTACCTTCTTAAAGGCCCTATCTCCAAATACAGTCACCTTCCAGGGTACTGAGGATTAGGGCTTCCACATATGAATGGGGAAGGGAGAGGACAGAATTCAAACCATAGAATTCCTAATATTTAAAAAAGCTCTTTATTTCACATTGTATACCAATACTGAATCATTATGTTGTACATCTGAAATATAATGTATATGTTAATTATACCTAATTAAAAAAACCCTTAAAATTGAAGGAAAGACTAAAAAAGCTTGACTGAAAAAATGGATAAAAGAAATGAACAAACAATTCACAAAAAATATGTAAAAGTGACCCTTAAATGTATGAAAAGAGAAATGCAAATTAAAATGATACTGAAATCATTTTTTCATCTATCATAATGGCAAAAATTTTAACGTATAACGACGTATTTTGTTAGTAAGATAGGGTGTAATGGGCTGAATGATGACCTCAAAAACAGATGTCCATTTTGTAATTTCTGGTAATTTATTTGAAAAAAGGGTTTTTGTATGTCTACAAAATGAGGAATTCATCTTGGATTGTCTGGGTGGACCCTAACTAATCTAATGACAAATACCCTTGTAAGAGTGAGACAGAGAGTTTGACAGAGCAGGAGGAAGTGGCAGTGTAGCCATGGAGGCAGAGATTGGAGTGATGGGGCTACAGGTAAATACCTTCCACCAGAAGTTGGAAGAGGCAAAGAATAGATTCTCCCCTAATCTCTAGAGGGAGTCTGGCCCTGCTGACACCGAGATTTTAGACTTCTTGGCCTAGAACTATGAGAGAGAATAAATATCTATTGTTTTAAGTTACCCAGTTTGTGATGACTTGTTACAGCAGCCATAGGAAACTAATAGATTAGTCTCATATATTGCTG